AAAAAAATAGTAAGCTTCTCCCCATCGCTCTCAGGGTCTGAAGTATTTTTGGAGAAATGAGGCATTTATACAAGTAACAATGGTACAAAAACTGCACGTGAAAAGCTCAGCACGAAGAACACAGATGACCAACCTGTAGGAGTTTTTGAAGAGACACACTTTGTGATTTGAAAGCTTTAGAGGACTTGAGAAAGGAAATGTGATTTAAGTGGGGCCTTCAAGAATGGGCAGGCTTTTGAGGATGAGGAGGGTGGACAGTGGGAGAAACGGTATAACAAACACTGATGCAGAAGGAGAGGGGAGGACAGTTGGAGCACAGCAAGCAATTCCAACAGAAAACAGGAGAAAATAGAACATAAACCCAGAGCCGGGGACTGAAGGGGTTAAAAAAAAAAAAGTGAAGCTAGAAAGAAGAGCTAATTTAGAGGAGAAAATAAATTCACTGTTAGATTTCAGCCCAATTATATTGAAGCGAAAGATAACATTGTATATTTTTCAAACCTGGGCTCCCAGATTTGATTTTGCCTTATTTTGACACTTTGTAGCCTGAGGGAAGACTGTGCTATTTGATAAATTATCCATCACATGCAAAGAAATAGGATCCTTGAATTGTGGAGCTGCAAGGGTCCCTAGAAATCATGTAATTCATTTTGCCAATGAGCTAATTTAGGGTCCAGGAAGATTAAGTGATTAGCCTGGGGTGATACAGCCTATTAGTTAAATATTAAAACAGGGCTAGCTGGTGGCTTGGGGGTTAAGGCAGCTTAACCACCACATGACCAACTGTGCAGTTCGAGTACCGGAACTAGTGGCTTGAAACACACACCAAGGGCATGTGCCCAAAATCCAACAGAGGAGACTGAAGGAGAAGAGGCTCAGAATAGCCTTCATCCTTGAGGGGTGCTTTCTCACATTCCTTCTTGCACCGTCTCTCCAGTGAGCACACACAACCTATAGCAAATTTTTTTAAATGCATATTTTTTATGTTTAAAGAACTAAATTAATGTATATTATATATACCAATATATAATATAAATATGAATATATATTATATATGTGAGTTAATATATATGTTATAGAGAGAGAGATAGTTAGCCACTAACCTCTGAGCCATTGCTTTGTTCACATGACCTAGTATGTCATTATCTTTTCTAAAAACTGTTTATCCACGAGTACATACATATAGTTTTACCCTGGAGCGTGTTCTAGATCATATCAAATCTAGTTTTTAAAAATTCAACCCTTCCCCGCCTTTGAGTACCTCCATTTTCCCTGTTTCCAACTCATCATTCTCCCTCCATTTAATAGCTAATATGTCTCCTTCTAAATATTTTTAGAATTTCTATAATTGTACAAGTTATGTATCTGTGTGTGTACAAACGTGTGTGTGGAATGTTTTAGGTCACTGTTTTATAAAAACAAAAATGTAGGTGCACTTTTCTGTGCCTTGTTTTTCCTCCAACCACAAGGACTCGTCCCAAGGTGAAAAGTTATAACCTAATTAGCCACATACTCGAATGCTTGTGTAATACTCTACAGTAGAGCTATGCCTTGATTTACCCATTCTGCCATTCATGAGGATCTGTTTGCTTCTAGTTTGTGCCTCTATAAGTAGTATTCTACTAAATATACCTGTATCCATATATGCTGGTGTTTTTTATTTCTATTGATAAGAGTTGGTATCATTGGGTTATGGACACGTATGTTTATTTTTTCTTTCTTTTATTTTCTTTGTATGTTTAAAGAACTGAATTGCTTCCCTACAAAAGGTATAACGATGCAGATTTTCACTAATTAATAGAAATATTTTCCTTTAGGCCAGCCCTATGGCCTAGTGATCAAAGGAGTTAAACCCCCCCTTCTCACGCTCCCCCATGGCTGACATTTGTTTGAATCCTAGCCCCTAGAGCTTTAAAAATACACCAAGAGTGTGTGTATGTGTGCCCCAAAACCTGACAGAATGGAGAAATGGAGGAGAAGGGATTGCGATGTGACCACACCTCACTGGGGGTGCTTTCTCTCATTCTCTGTCTCTCTCTGGTGAATGCATGTGCCCTCTGACAATTTTAAAATAAGAAACTTCCTTTCACTGTGTCTCCTCAGGCTGTGGTGTTTTAAGTCTTTCTTTTTTTATGTTTTTGCAAGTACAACTGGTGTGAAGTAAAATCACATTGTAACTTTATTTGCATTTATTTGACTGCAAATGAATTTGATTACCTTTTCATAAGCTTCTTGCATATTTGGGTTTCCTGTCGGGTAAACTGTGTTTTCATAGTCTATCCATTTTTCTACCCAGTTACTTGGGTTCCATGTAAACTTTTCAAGAGTTCCTGTATCACAGATATTTTAACCTGTCCCCTAGAATTGCAAACGTTTTTTTTTTTTTCAAATCTATTGTATTTGTTTTGGTATCTTTGGTGTGCAAACATTGTGAATTTTATCAAATCATCTATATTCATGTTCTCCCTTATAATGTTTGCCTTGTTAAGGGAAGACTACCTCTCCTGCCGGTAGATTATATAAGTGGTTCCTAGATTTTCTTATGGGATTGTTATTGATCTCATTATTTATTTTACACTTTAACCTCTAATCCCGCTAAGACATTTTTGGAATTGGTGTAAGATAAAGATCCAGGTTTCTTTTCTTCCAGATGAATAAACACTTTGCCAGACCCTGGTATTAAATAAGGTAATCTTTTGCCTCTAAATTGAAATGCCTCTCTTGTCATATATTAAATAAATCATTTCTATTTGGATCTCTTTCTAGCTGTTCTGTTTCCCATATCTATTTATGTCTGTTTCAATACTTCCTGATTTAATGACAGCTTTATAGAATTTTTTTGCTATCTAGGAAACGAGACTGTACAAATGAGCTGAAGTAGTTATCAAACCAGTAGATACATTTCAAGCCTATTTGCTAGACAGCAGTTGGAGGCAAAATAATATATGTGTCATTAATTTTTTTTTCAAAATCTTTCTTCCCAAGGTCTGTTTTCACACACGATGAAAAGGTTTAATGTGCTATGAACATTTACAACAGAAACATTTGGGAATATTTTTCGATCCTTACATGGTGTACCACAGTAACAGTCCTGTTTCCTCTGTCGCAGGCTGCCTGGTGCCTGACTGTGGCTTCACTCTGAGCTGCGACTGCTTCCCAGCAGGAAAGCAACTCAAGGGAGAACTCTGAGGTGTTCCTGAAGAGAAATTCCATGGGGACTGTACCTGACCCTCTGAGATCAGCCAAAACCTCCCTGATCACAGCTCCTGGAAAAGAGGCCCTGGGAGAGCCACAAGCCGCCTCCCCTCCGCATCCACCAGCTCTTCTGTGTAAGAACTCCAATGGCCTTTCCAGCACCCCTGCAGAACCAGACCTCAGCCCCAGGGCACCTGCAGAGGCCCTGATGCAGGCTTGCCAGCATGAGCCCACCAGGCCAGATATGTCTTCCCCTGTCTTCAAGGAGGTGGAGAAGGTGTCTCCCACACTCACCTCTCCTGGCAACCCCCAGCTGGCGGGAAGCAGCGAGCCCACGGCATTAGCCCTGCGTTCTTCAGCAGGTGATGGTGTTGTACACACACCCTCCATAATGCCAGCCCATCCGCACAGCCACCAGACCGTCCCCGGAGACCTGTCTAATGCCAGCCCTTCATCAGCACCTAAAGATTCTCTGGGGAAACCTCAGAGAACCTCACAAGGAGAGCGACTTGAGAAGTCAAGCTGTCCTGCAGGAGTCACCTGTGGGGGCAGCAACGCTCAAGTGTCCTGTGAGTTTCCTTCTCAAGAAACAATCCAGGGAAAGGTGCAGACACCACCCATAGCAGCCAGGGTGACGGGTCCGCCATCCTCTCCCACAGAACAGCCTGATGGGGAGAGACATAGAGCTCTCCACGACTCTGAGACGATGCCCTGTGACCCTCCAGCTGGAGAGGAAGGATGTGCGGAGAACAAGCAGCCCTCTTCCACTGCCTCGGACACCCAGGGCATGACGTCTCACCCACCCTGCCTTCCTGGAGAAGCCTGCGCCCCAGCTCCAGAGACCGTGCAGCTGCCCGCACAGCATCAGGAGGCCTCGCGGTTCAAAGAAGCCAGTACAATGACCAGCCAGGCCCACGGCGAGATCCAGGGTCCCAGCAGAGCGCGGCAAGATGCCGAGGTGCAGGCCGTGGCCAAGGTGGAGAGCAGGTCGGTCTCCACCAGCCCCAGCATCCTTACTGCATTCCTAAAGGCAACCCCTGCCCCTGAGCGTCTGGAACAACAGGAACAGCTGCGTGTCATCTGCCATGGTGGCAGCCATGGGGGCCACACGTTGGAGCTCTCGAGCAGCTCGCTCACGCCCCTGGAGTCGGGCCAGTGTCCTGGCTTGGTGCCGCAGGTGCACATCCAGGCAGCTGCTGCTGTTCCCGCAGCCTTCGGCGGAGAGGGCAACCCAGCGAGCCCGCCAGGCCAGGTCCTCACAGCCCCGGCTATCAACGTGGCCTCCGGCAATGCCCAGGATACAGGTAAAGAAGCCGGCAGGTCAGCAAGGATGACTCTGACCGGGGAGTACCCGACCGCCAAACTGCCCGCAGGTGCAGGTCCTACCTCCCTGCAAGCTGGTCGCGCCGCCCAGACTGCGGTTAGCGCCGACAGTCACACCGGGACAGATCGGGAGCTGGGGAGCTCTGAGCCTGCAGTGAAAACCACAGATGGCCACAGTGTAGACCCAGGCTGCAAACTGCCCGACTCGTGTGGCCCTGCCGGCACAGCTGCGCAGCCGGTGAGCTTGGACCCCACGGACAAAGGAGGTGCGGGGGAGAGGAAGCCTGCGTCTCCCCAGATAGTGAGAGAACACGAGGCTCTGGGCCCCGATACCCTCGACGCCAAAACCATACTGCTCAGTCCGAAAGCTCAAGAAAGCGGAGGCGCAGGGTCAGCTGCTCACCCCACACCCTCCCCAGTTAGAAAGAGCCAGGAGGGCGCCTGCGAGGAAAGCAGACAGCCCAAGACCGCCACCAGCCTGAGCCTGCCCTCTGAGTCCATGGGCGACTCCAGCCCGGGATCCGGCAAGAGGACCCCTTCCCGCTCGGTCAAAGCCAGCCCGCGCCGGGCCAGCCGCGTGAGCGAGTTCCTCAAGGAGCAGAAGTTAAACGTGACGGCGGCCGCTGCGCAGGTGGGGCTCACCCCGGGAGAGAAGAAAAAGCAGCTGGGCCCGGACTCCAAGCTCCAGCTCAAACAGTCCAAGCGCGTCCGGGACGTGGTGTGGGATGAGCAGGGCATGACCTGGGAGGTCTACGGTGCTTCCTTGGACCCGGAGTCCCTGGGAATCGCCATCCAGAACCACCTACAAAGGCAAATCAGGGAACACGAGAAATTCATCAAAACCCAAAACAGCCAGAGCCGGCGATCCATCTCCTCAGATACTTCTTCTAACAAGAAGCTCAAGGGAAGGCAGCACAGCGTCTTCCAGGCCATGCTGCAGAACTTCCGCCGCCCCAACTGCTGCGTTCGGCCAGCCCCGTCATCCGTGTTAGATTGACAGGAGCACGGGTGCAGTCTGCGTGTGTGCGTTTAGCACATCCCTGTGCGTCTGTGTATAGCGAAGCGTACTTCGTATCTTTGTGAAAACAGACCAAAACACACGCGCACACACACACACACACGCACACACGCACACAGAAAACACGAGTCTTAGCTATAGGAAATTGCTGTGGATAGTTGCTGGGTCCTTGGACTGCAGCTATATAAATAAAAATATCATTCCAGTTTGAATGAAAGAAAAAAAAAAAAGAGAAGAGAAGTAAGCTTCACTGAAGGTTTGCAACCTTAATTGAGTGGAAATAATATTCACCAGTTTTTTTTTTTTAATGATGTTGCTTATAGAAATAACATTATTATTATCACCCACGTGTCATTTTATAGTACTGCCTCAGTTTATCACATGGTGGCATTTCCATTGTGATCTCTAAAATCCCCACGTGAAAAAATAATGGGAACACTATTAGCAAAAACACTTTCATAATTCCTAGTCTTACTGCAATAAAAATGCTGTTACCACTCAAAATTGAAGTAGTTGATAAGAACCACAATCTAAAAAATTGAAACAAATTTGGCTCATTCCTAGGCCAGATAATATTAAATAAGAGTGTGTAAAATACCAAATATGAATTAGTATTTATAAACATCTACAGATAACCTTTTTTATAAACCCTGTTATAGCTGTTAATAAATATAAGAAAGTAATATTAGGAATATTAACTAAGCCTCTGAATTTGAATACTGCCTATATCTAACTTGGATTTGTCTATACAACTTTCTCTGCATTAAGGCCAGGTGAATCTATGTAATTCTGACCAAATTAAATGCATATTTTATTACCCTAAAGAAAGTCATAAAATTAGGGATAATACTAAATGTTATGTTGTACAGGTGTTCTCCAGTAATATTCTACCAAAAATGATAAGGTTCTGGTAAGGAATGATAACAATAGATTACCAAATACTGCCTTTTCTATGTTGATATGAGAAAAGCCTCCTGAGTGACGAAAACAGTATGTTCAATGTAGACTCCTACAAACAGAATACAATTTGTGTTTTTCCTTTGATTTGATTCAGTAGTTTTTTTTATTTATATATTTATTTTTGCTTTTTTTTTTTTCAGATAGATTCAGTAGGTTCTAACAACAAACATAGACAACACCAAAAGGAACACAGGTTACATTTCTTCTGTATAGACTTATTTCTGTATGTAGACTGATACCGTTTCATTGCTTCAGTTTATAATCTGGAGTATAAAGCTAAGATCTGCAAACTTACTGATTTTAAGGGGAATATCATCATATGCCACCCTTCAAACCCCAGAAAAGAAGAGGCCTTTACACGAAACATGATCTGAGCTTTGGGTGGGCTACGTTTTAAGAACACAGGCACCTGTTTGAACTGAACTCCCTCATGTCTCAGAGAAGAGCGTGTCCTGCAAACCGTTGGCCTGAGTGACCAGCAGTGGCTTTACATTTGGCATAGTGTGAAAAGGGGGACTGAGTTAGGGGTCTGGCAAGGTTTCCCTTCCTGATCCACCATAAGAAGAGCACAGGTCTCCGTCCTACATTCAGAAAACCAGACTCAGATGGGAGAGGGTCACTGGTTGCCTTTTCTTAACTCTTTCTCGAGGAGCCAGAAAATGCAATCTTTCCAGACTCACAGATGTCCTTCGTACAATCATTTCATGTGATCTGTCTTGGCTTTTTTAGTTTAGTTTAGTTTTGCAGATTCTGAACATACGATGAAAAAAATAATTAAACCCTGAATGGAATCACCACAAACTATACTGGACATAACCTAAATCAGTAAAAAGACATTGATTTCATTCAAACTAATTTGACTGTATCAGAGCCTGAAAAATGGCCATTACAGTGGTGGGAACTTACAATGAAGTCTTTTTTTTTTTTTTTTTTTTTTTTGAGAGGTTTTCGCTATAGGGCATGTGCACTCACCAGACAGACAGAGAGAGACAGAGAGACAGAAAGCGAGAAATCACTCCCCAGGGGGATGGCCACACCTCAATCCTTTCTCCTCCATTCTCCTCTCGGGATCTTGGGCATGCACACACACGCGCCCGGCATGAGTTTGAAGCCACCGGTTCCGGGACGCAAACCGCGGTCAACTACATGGGAGTCCAGCGACATAGCCATTACGCTAACTGCTGGTCCCACAATGAAGTCTTTAAGGTAGCCCATATTTCACTTTCTTACCATTTGGCATATATTAACAGGGCTATCTAAAGTAGAAATTACCATCAAATTATTCTTGATGATCTATTTAGTCAAATGCTCTCTCTTTTGGTCTCAAATACCCCTTTGTAGCTGTGCTCATGTCAGATGCTTTGCCAGAACATTATCTCAGTCTTCTCTCCTGCTGGCTGGCTCTCACTCACATCGGTGGATCTGCTGTGTATACACAGAGTACACCCTGTGTACACAGTGGTGGTTGTCAACAGTTCCCACTCTAGGTGGGTGGGCCCCAGGTAATCCTCTGCGGTGAAGTAACTGGAACAGGCTGTTCCTGCATTAAAATAGGAAAGAAGAATTCAACATCCAGTAATAATATTTATTTTCATGAGCTTAGAGTAGCCACATGATTTATAAATAGTTAAATGAAGCAGAGGCCTAAAAGAGTTGTAATTTGTCCACATTAAATAAACGAAAGCTGCTAAATTTGGTATTTTGTTGTGCCTCTCAAATTACAACTTGAAGAAAAATGTTTGATGTAGTAAGCTTATCTGATCCTCTTTGGTGCTAGAACTAAATTCCTTACTTCTACCACACTCTAGAAAATACCACAAAAATTTACAAGACCGTTCTTGTTTTGTGGCATATTGAATCTTATAGAATTAACCTCTTTTATCAGTAGAAACAATCACAGAGTTTTATCATCAAATGGATAAAGAAGATAGGAGCCTATGCAAGACAGCAGTGTTTTTATATTATGGTAGCTACCCTCACTCATTCTCACAATAAACCTTATTTGAAAGTGTTCCTTCACTCAATCTGTGATACAGCATTAGATATTTGGTATATCATTGGTGACACCTTGAATCTATTCAAATGAAGTTGCAAAACACTCTTTAGACCTACTCACGTATTCCTTATTTAACTTGCATGACACACAGTGGGTTAAAAGTTGTTTGATGTTATCCTTCACTTCTTCTAGATATGACTGGGTCCTTTGTAATGCCTTTTAATTTTTGAAATATTATGAAGGAAATGTTTTATTAAATCAAGAAATAGAAACTATTTCTTAACCCAGTTGTAAAAGAGGTAAGTTAGAACTCAGTGTCTGGAAGGTAATTGACCACAGTGTTAAAGATTATGTACCACTTGACCAAGTGAACACTAGAATTTTTAACTGAAATCCTGTTATTCTGTTTTTGTGACCACAAGAATAACATCATAGCTTTAGCTATCATGTTTATTTTGAGTGCTTTTCTAATTATGCCTTTCTAGATCACTGGCATTTGAAGTCATAGATCAACTTCTTTACATACAGTAAAATCTGATTAACCTTTGTGTTTTAGATCTGTGGCATAAGTTGAGCATTTTGGTAAATCAAGGTTAACCCCAAGCCTTTTTATTTGCATCGAAAGTGAAATACTTATAAAATATATTAGTATGTTTCCCTATTTTGACCAATTCAGCTATTGAATGTAATTTGATCTTTGATCATGTTTTTAATGCCAACAATTGTCTGATATGTACTATTTTGGACACCAGTGTTCTTCATGTTATAAGTTAAACATCAAAGTTGAAATAAATTAAACTGAATATGCATGTGAACCTACTTCCTAGAGGTCAGATCTTGGAACCAAACCTTTAATAGGAGGTTGCCGTTGTAAAGTAGAAAGCAGAAGAAGAAAAAGGCATTTGGTCATATACCCGAGTCCTGAAGTTTTACTGTTCCTGGTTTATACTAACGCTGTTCCTCTGATTCTGGGAATTGCTGTAATTCTGGGAAGCCTTGTATATACCACAGCAAGAATAGAGCATAATGTGATGTAAAAATTGCTTACAGAGGATATGTACCCGTGTGCTGTTCATGTCAATTGTTAAGCCTTCGCTGTATCCACTCTCTTACCGTTTTGCTACCAAAATGTGAGAAATTATTGTCTTCTTTTCCTCCTACATGTTGTGCCAAGTGCTAAAAAATATTGGTCCACTTCTAGCACCACATACTTTGTTATATCCCTTGTCTGCCTTTTAAGACTCAGTATAAAGAAAAACAACACATTAGGATAAGGTTTGCATCGATGTATATGTGTTTTTATTGAAAAGTGGGCACTTGTCGCCTTGTGTAGACCTCCTGCCTGATTGACTCTCAACAATGCCTCCAAGGACAGGATGCCCTCTCCCCTCTCCTACTTGGTCCCAAGTGGTGTCTAAGAAGTCAGACCTGTGAATTTCCCTTTCTGATGATACAGTAAACTCGGCAGTGTCTTGAATAAGTGAGCTGACCACCTGGTTCCCACCCGTTCTGTCTCTGCAGTGAGTTAGGAACCGTCCATGTCTGCATCCATGTTTGCTAGTTCACATTCATACCTGAGCATTTTGTTTTCAGCAAGCAATGTCCTTTGATGTCATTGAGTGGCCCTTCTGGTGGATTTTCTCCAACTGCAGGTCAGCTCTGCCACCTGGCAGCTCACAGGCGCTGTGCTGACTCTCTCATTCATCCTCGTGACTATATCCATCTCTATGAAGTTCTGCAACTAGCTCAGTAATTCGAAATGTCATCTGTGCAGACACACGGGCTTCAGGATGTCTGCAGAAGTCTAGACATTTTTGCAAAAGGGGAAAACATACTCTTGTAAATACTAAAACAGATTTCCATGAACTTTATCCTACTCTCAGAAAAAAAATAAATTCTCCTTGGCTACAGAAATCAAATGAACTTGGTTTGCAAAGACCAAGAACATAAATGAAGATGGATTGAGATTTAAAAATGCTCTGTCTCACAAGTAACCAATGAGGTCTGCCAGAGGTCATTACAGCTACGTTTAACTGTGAACCCTCACCAGCTAAACTACTCACTTGCCACAACCAAATAACCTCTCAGAGTAAATCCAATACATCTGTATATATGTGTAGATAGTAACAACAGAAAAAAAAGTCTGGACCATTACTTTGGGCTGTGAGGTATGTCAAGTGGTGATAATTATAACAGACATTCAAATAACCACAGGCCTTGATGAAATGACTGTGGGGGCCAGAATGGTGCAACATGATGTTATTTACCAGTTGTTTTTTTTTTAAAGACCCAGATATCTCAGATACTAATCATGAGAATAAAGACTGTTGAATATGAAATTAAAGCCAAGCAATAATGTGCCAAAACAAGGCAGTTCTACCAGCAAGTGCATCTATTACGGACACACCATTATATAAGTTTGGTTTGTTCTATGAAGACTGACTATGACCCACAGGATAAAATAAGCAAAGGTATACTTTCCGCTTTATTGCCAGAAAAACTTGTTTAGAGGCTGAGTAAAAAGGTACAGCACTGGTGACCATTGGCAGGAATACAGGTAACATCTCTGTTTTCATGCTAGCCAAGACAGAAAAGGAGCCACTGAGAGTCTTGCTGGCTTAAAGTTCAAGATAGTGTCAACCAGAAACTTTGTTGAAATGGAAAGGGTAAACTTATGGTATTATTCTTCCTAAACACTAGCACATAAGAAAGCACTTCAATTCATTTTCCCAGAGGATTACCAGCCTTAACTATGAAAAATGGGCTCCCTAATGGAAAACTACTAAAACATGATTACTTATATCAAAAGGGGCTTCAAATAATGCCTTACTGATGTTCCAGATGGGCGTTTCCAAATACCAATTCTTCATTGAGTATCTTTCTGGGTTCAAGTTCAAAATTAATTGGCTGCCATATAATAGGAATAAAAATCACATATTTTCCATTTCAGAAAAAAAATACTGATAAACAATGTGGTGATAATTATATTGAGATATCCTAGTGATTTAAAGTGTGTTAGAATTAAATACAAGAGAAATGCTCACTTTTTCCTTTACCTCTTACATGTAGAGATGTCGTCCATTTATTTTTGAAGTGAAAATTATTGCTTGCTCTTTGATATTGCTGCTAGTATTACTCTTTGTTACTTTAAATATTAAATAGTTTATTCTTTAGAAAAATTTTTAAGCAGTTAAACATTTTTTCCTAACTTATATCATTGCTTTTAATACAATAAAGGTTGTATACAGAGCAAAATCTATCGAATGAGTAAAAGGGGCTTAACCATGTTAATCAGCAGCCTTATTGATTTGGGTGTAGACTCCTTAGCATTTATTTTAGACTACACGTTGAGTAAATTAGTTTTCATAGTGTTTTCCAGCATGTTCTGAAATGATGCTGGCAAATCATGAGACTGCAGTATTACCGTCATACTCCCAGTCCCTGTAGGAAAGGAGAAACTAGTTCTTGTTCTAAGGCCATCTATGGATACCTTCTATTGAGATTGAGAAAGGTCAGCCTGGCCTGAAAACTCAAGAAAAATATATACTAACAATTACTCAATTTCTAAATGTATTTATCTTTGCTGTTCTAATGTGTGAACAATATGTCGTGCATAATACCGTAGCTGGTTGTGGTATATCCATACAGTCCATCAGTGTGTACAGTCTGTGAGTGATTGGCTTTCTATTTTTATGTGTAGAAAAAAATAATAATGCGCTGTGTCCCGTTTAAAGGCCAATTTCCATCATCGGGTAGGCACATGTACAAAAGTGAATAAAGCCAACAAAAGTATGCGTGTGTATTCACTAATAGAATTTGT